TTATTCCAGTTCACATTTCAAAAAAATTCATTCGAGCGGAGATGGTGTGGTGACAAGAGGGGCCACTACCGCGCGGATGGTCCCTGGATCGAAATCCCAGCTCAAATCGCAGCATATGTCAGCCAAATTTCTATAGATGATTAGTCGTTGCTAAAGCGATAGTTCCTACGTGAAACACATCGATAAATTCAAAAAGCCGCAATTTAAGAGCTAGGGAATCGTCCCTTCGAGGGGTTTTTATTGTACGAAAGGTCAATTCTTGCACTTCGTTGCACCTCATTGTACTTGAAATTAGGCCCGAAAACCATTGAATGTCTCCGACCTTCTCGTCGTACTCGGAAAATAATACATTCAAGATCGATTGATCCCGTGCAGGTGTGTACTATATTCAGGTTTCGCTCAAAATCGCCGCAGAGACATTTGGTAAGTTTTATGTCCACAGAATGACTTGTAATATTATACACAATAAATGCAACCCTCAAGGCCTAAAAGGGTATTACACTTAATTTCAATCGCTTTATAGCAACATATTCCTGGAACTGAAGTAATCTTCAGTGTTGCATTACCAGCGCCGAGCAATGCACAGGGGTGGCCAAAAAAAAGAGACACTTCACTCCACATTTCAGACAGTATTAATCATACTTTGCTGAAGTCGAATCGACTGCCTTCAATTGATCATTAAAGAGCACATTCCTAATCTACATGAAAGTTACATACACCGACGACGTCAGAAGATTTTCCCACGGAAACATGGTTCACGGTACGAGCTCAACGAGGTCGTCGAGGTACCATAGACCATTACGACGTCCCTGAAACGCTGGTCAAAAGCGGTTTTGCATAGTCACAGCTAATGTCTCTGGGAAGCTATTCAACAGTTAACCATTGAAGAAATTATGTAGCAGCTTCAGGTCGGAGCGATTACGGTAAGCCTCGTTGAGCTCGACGGTGGCGGCAGATGACGTCATATATTCTGAAGGCGGCGGGGTGAAGGAGGGCCTGCTTCTGTTTACGGGGGAACACTAAGGAATATTCCGCCGTAAAACTTTCATTAACATCGGCTCCCTGTGCGACGAAAAGTTCGATGATGTGCGCCATGGGCAAGTGTCTCTTTTTTTGGCCACCCCTGTATGATAATATTCAATATTTCACCATGTCTTCTCATACAAGGCCACAGCACCACCTCCCCCCCTCCCCAACAAGCAGTCAAATACGATCCGTCCTATTTGAAAAAAAAATTAATTGCGTGGATGGAAGTTGTCTTATTATTGTGCAATGTTGTAGGACCAATGAAGAGCCGGAAAACTAAGGACTGGTAAAGGGAAAATAGGGGGTCAAATCAATGAAGGAAAAAAGGATTTCCAAGTCATCTCGCACTGAGAGAAAATTTAGTATTCAAAAGAAGAAATATCCTAAAATTGAAAAATCAATAAAAGTAGACAAGTATCGATTCCAGCCTGGAATATCTAGTGTTTCGCGAAGAACAAACATATTGCCTAAGATTGGTTGAGAGTACGGTCTAACTAGCAAAAGTCTCTTTTCTGCGGAAGGACTCCATTTCCAAAATAAAATGAGAAAATCTTGGGTCTTTTTTTTTTTTGGGGGAAAACGTTGAACTGACCAAGTGACAGACCAGGACCACCCGAGTATCCTCTGAGTTGAGCGCGAGCTTCAGCCAATTCGTCCGACTGACGCCCAAGCTTCTCATTCAGCGACTGCAAATTGTGACAGTAAGGGCTTAGTAAATACAATAAATAAATAAATAAATAGGGAAAGCCTGTGAAACAGAGACCCTTTTTTGCCCGCTGACTTCCGCATTGGTGCGATTCTCGTCGGCACTTTCCTCTTCAAAGCTAACGCTCTCTCTGCTAAATGGCTAGAGTCAGACGGCGGGAGGGTGGGCGTGCCGCGGCGCGGGTATGGCCTAAATCGCTGGGGACTTATTCTTCCTTGATAAGCGTGCATCGGTGCACCCTTGAAATGCTCGCCTGCCCTTCGGTTGGCCTCCGACCTTATCATGAAAAATGCTCCTCCTTTGACGTGTGAAAGTGAAGGATTCTTCTTCGAGGGTTTGTATCTTCGGACAGGTTTTCAGCAGATAATCCAAATTTGGGCGGAAGTGGTGTAGTGGCAAGTGGCACGCTTACCACGCGAGCGGTCCGGGGATCAAATCCTGGGTCGTGAGTCGCCCGGGCCAACCAAGCCTTCCATCCCTCCGGGGTCGGTTAATTGGTACCAGACTTGTCTGGGAGGATAAAAACACTGACTTGTACATCGGCTGGCCCCCGCAAGTCATTGTATAGGCCACATCGCATTCAAACGCCACTACGAATGTACAAATGGAAGTAGAATGCGTGCCGCATCCCAAAAAGGGATTGATCAACGGCAAATGCTTTATCCTTTATCCTTTTAATCCAGATTCGTTCAAAAATTTCTATAGAAATTGAGAAAATTAGGTTTTTTGGTGAAAGTAGAGGTGCCACTTTTTTGAGGAAACGTGATTTAAAAAAATAGAACGCTGGGTGAGAAAGCCGAGGACGAGAGCTTTCCTTTTCGCCCGTTCATTTCAGAATAGTCGAGTTTCACGCTGGTACAGGGGTCGCTCGGGAAAAGCTAAACAATGGTATCATAGCTACGGTAATCAGGAGGCATTCGCTGCTTCAATGGTCGGGCAACAATACAGTTAGAAAAGAAAATCTTGCAAAAGAGATGGGCGTGTCTGAGGGTTGGAGGGGTTGTTGAGGCACAACGGCGCTTCATCGCGCCGTTGATAGCACCTCTTCCGATGCAATGGCTCCATCTACTACCCAACTTAACTTTCCATTACCCACTTCGGTAGCCGTGTACCTATTCCGTGAACACCACCTTCATAGCGATCTTCGTCTCGGGGGAGGGATGGGGAGAGAAAAAGATGATAGTCGGGTGGGTCAGGTCGGCGAACAACGTGAGAGTGGTACTTCCCATGTGCCCCAATAAGGTATTGTGTAGCTTATTACGAGTTTGTATCTCACTACGATTTCGAATGCAAAGCGACATGCGTGGCGTATCGTAAAGCAATTCTAATGAATGTCAAATGTTTCAACCTTTAGGCTTTCCAGAAATATTGCAGAAAAAGTAGTATGATGCACTTTAAGGAGCAGCTACGTGCAGTGACTATAAGCGTGCCTAGTACGGCCTCTGGTTGCCCCATTAAATAACATTTTCAGATTGGAACGTCATCGTTAAAGGAAGTAAGGAAGGACTCAAGCGGAAGTTCGTACTTCCGCAAGAGTAAATAGTTCGAAATAACAACGAGCTCTTTTCTTTCGTGGAATCGGGCATTAATGCACTGCAAGTTTGTCTTAAACGGTTTGCCGAGGCTCAAAATAGCCCACTTACAGTACTTGGCAGCCAGGATTAACTAATGTTACAAAATAATAATAATGGGATAAGAACAGATGTAAAACTGATCTCCTAACAAGGGCGTCCACTTTCCGAGCCTACCATGTAGCCGATTGATTGGCACCAAACTCGTCT